TTTACGTTACTTACTTTACTTTTTACTTTATTACTTCGTTAGTAGAAGTAAGTTACCTTACTTACTTACCTACGTAGAAGGTACGTCGTATTAGTATTATTATATGTACGTACTCTCTCTCTCTCTCTCTCTCTCTCTCTTGCCCCCCGCCTATTTAATTGAAAATATCTCTCTTTCTTAGTTATTAGTTCAACAAATACCACATTAGAAATTGTAGAGAATTCCCTAAATATCTATTCTATATATTTCTTTCCTTAAATATCTCCTCTCCTGAAATCTCGTTCTATCTCTTCATTTCTGCAAATTTCTCAAGCACTATGACTCGATATATCCCTCTCTCTTCCAGTATGGCGTTCCTCGGTCTTGGCTTAAATAGTCTAACTGTATATAAAAAACAAACTATGCTTTAAATATTTTGATAAATACAGAATAGAATTCGCTGTGGTTCAATATGTCAGGTATATAGGGTTAGGCTAAGAATAGCAATAAATCTCAAACTCAAGGGTAGAATATTTGTCCTTTTAAAATGTCATGAAGACAGTGTTTCCTTCATTGTTATCTTACAACAATCAAGGAGTCACCTTGTGTTAGCAATAGTCCCTATGGCTCTGAGGAGATATGCTCCAAAGAGTTGCTGGCTATTGCCTAGACGATGACTTCTCTTTCAAAAGCATGTTGTATTGATCTCATCCATGAATATTGTATTGTTTAGCGTGTATGGCATACTCCCATGGGAGCATACTGTACATCGCCGGAGCATACTGTACATTAACTCAGGCAAAGAGCTACTTTGGATATTGTTTTTTCCATCTTACAATTTTGGATACACCTTAGAATCATTGGATGATTATTTTCAAAAAAATAAAATTGGATTTTGAGTTCTTCAAAACTTAGATCTTGCCCTCCAGAAATTGGATGGTCCCTATTCAATCTTGGAATGCTATAATTTTCAAGCGCATGGAGTTTGCGATTTGAATTTTCTTTTCTTTTTTTTTAGGTTGATTGCTCGGTTCAAGAGGTTACATTGCCAAATTTTGGGTCCTAAAGATACTCCTAGCTTGAGTTTTACCTAAGGGAGCAAATGGACAATATGGTCCCATGGGAGCAACTAATCTTTTCACTCTAATGTTTAGCTCTTGCCATGTGCCCCAAAGGATTCCTACGGCCACTATGCGTCCACAAAAGTTGACCTTTTGTAGGAATTGAGGGTATACATTTGGGAAACAATGCCAACTATGACATAAACCAACTACCCATGAAGAAATCAAGCAAGACTAACCAAATTTCTCTGGTTGATCTGCAGAAGAATGAGTACATGACTACCAGCCTCTGCTTCCCCAACATATTATGTTCGTGATACATTGTATATTGTTCAACAGAGGAATGTAACCCCTCTTTTGAATTCCTAACAAATTTAGAGTCCCCTCAAGTTCCTTTTTTCTTTTGTAAATTCCTGATTTTTTATTAGACAATCTCAATAGAATCTTACATAGGAAATTTATTATCCTTTATTTTCTTCCCTTTTTTGTGTTAGTGGTTATTTTCTGCCCTTTTTTGTGTCAGTGGTTATTTTCTGCCCTTTTTTGTGTTAGTGGTTATTTGGATGTTAGCTTTATGGGGATTTAAATGTGTGGTGAAATTGCTTGATCGATAATTTGGGTGGAGGATTTTGCTCATGATATAATTGAATTCTCTTTCAAGCAAACAATTTTTCTTTCAATGCATCCATTCTTCCTTCCTCCCATGGCCTAGGTGGGGGGCCATACTTTGGAAAGCCACGGTAGCCACAGCTCTCTAGGTTATCTGGAAAGAACAAAACAACAGGATCTTCCAGGGAGTTGCTTCCCCCTTACAAGATTAAGGACTTCATTCGAGGCTCTATCATTTTCTGGGCTACCAATAACAGACATTTCAGACACATACCGGCAGTCGACTTCCTAGTCAGCTGGGAAATCATCCTTTTCCATAAACGAAAGAGAGTTCCACGCTCGGCCCTATGGAGACCGCACAAACATCAAACTCAACTTCGATGGTTCTTCTCTAGGAAATCCTGGCCCGGCAGGCATTGGAGGGATTTTTAGGAACTCCGACGCTATCACCATACAGACCTACTCACTTCCTATAGGGGTCGCCGACTCTACCGAGGCGGAAACCAGACTCTACTCAAAGGTCTCAGACGCTACAATCCTTCATGGGGTCATTCTCTTCTGGTAGAAGGGGACTCGGAAAATGTCATCTCTTGGGCGTCTAGTATTTCCACTCTTCCATGGAGACTATGGGCTTTATTTGATGAGATTCACGACCTCTGCAGGTGTATTCTAGTCTCATGGATGCATACTTGGAGGGAAGCCAACCATGTCACCGATGAGCTAGCCAAACAGGGAGCTGCCTCTAAACTACCAACAGGATAATGGATCAATAGCTGCCTTTTTTGCCCTTTTGGTCTTTTTCTCCCTTTTCTTCTCTTCTCTATCTTGCCTTTTTTTATATTAGGGCTCGTGTAGCCTCTTTTTTTCTTCTCTTTCGTATGCTGGTTGCACCCAGCTGTCACCTTTCTCGGTGACTTTTACCTCTCTGTGTTGTGGCTTCCCTTTATAATTTCTATTCCATCTATACAATGTTAACAGTTCCAAAAAAAAAGAAAAATCTTTCAATTCTGTGTAGTTTGGCTGTATGATATGAACTTGGGACATATTATTGTAATAGCCATATTATTGTTCCAGCCAACACCTTAATCCATGAAGCCGAGCCCAAACCCTATAGAAAGGATAGGGCAGCTTAGTTGGGCTTTTTGAGACAAACTTAAGTGTTTGAACCCCTAACCTTCCTCAGCCAATCCAGGACATCCTACCATTAGGCCAAAGTCTGAAGGTTAAACAAAAAAAGGAAGGTTAGATATTTGGTTTTTATGGGACGAACTTCAAGGTTTCAACCCTTAACTGCCCTCACCCAAACCAGATGCGTACTGCTAAGCCAAAGTCTAAGGCACAAGGCAAGCAAATTTTTTACTTTCCTGTATGGCAGTTCTTTTTTGTGGTTTCCATCTTTTAAGCAGGCTGGATTAGCTGCATCTCAATTCAAAATGCATGCTTCATGTAAATATCATCTTGTGTCATCAAATACATCAATTCTTATGTATAGTTTTGAGATAAGAGCGACATATCAAGATTTGCCTCTTTTTTTTAACATCTTGCCAAGAAACTCTTATCAAACCATGAATATTTTTAATTGAAATCAAGATTTGCTGGTTTTCATGCACTGCTGAGTTCACTTTTTTATCTACCTCTTCCCTTGAAAAAATATATGAAATTCCGGGTTTGTTTCTTCATAGCCATGGTTATATTGTTGTTGTTATTATTTTTATCTTTTAATTTGTAAGTTCAAGGCAGTTCTTCAACTTCTTGTTCAATCTAAACATGCAGTTGGGAGTTTTAACAGGCTTGCTAATGGCCTTATTGGTGGCAGTATGTTCATAATCTAGTTTGTTGGTTTCAGTAACCAGTTCACTTACATTTTAGACATAAGGCATGGGGAAGCTGGAATTATTAGTCAAATTCTGATGTTTTCGGGTTGTTTGGAATTTCAGATCCTACTATATGAACTTCTTACTGGGGATCATATTTCGCCTTTTCCATCGCATTTTCAAGCTTTAGATTCTTAATGAGCTGAAACCAGATCTGTATAGCAATTTGTGACTAGAGATTTCAATAACAATGTAAAATAATTTGAATTGTTTTCTTATAGAAACTTTTGAAGTTAGTGGTTTGTGTAGTCACGATTCCCCTGATTTTGATTCCCCTGATTTTGATCCTTGTTAAGTGCCAAGTCAGTTGATAGTCTTATTGTGCCAACACAGTGTTGTTATATACTTTTGGAGGCTCGATCACATTTTTTACGAGATTTTTATACATATTGTCTGGAGGCACACCTGGAGGGAGGCTAACTCCATTGCGGACACCCTCGCTTAGGAGGGTGCGAATGGTTCCAACCCCCAGGGGACCCTTTCGATCGCCTCTTGAACTGTCTCGACGAGCCGACACCTCGGTTTGATCGTTTCCTTTACACCTTTTCGGCCTTATGGTTTGTATATGACGCCTGTATGGATTTTTTGCATCCGCAAGGGTCTTTGGCATCGAGCACCCGACTTGTGGGTAGCCGATTTTTTGTGAACTCTTCTACTCTATACAATATACAACTGCTAACATTCTAAAAAAAAAACACATCGTTGTTATATCATGTGAAGTTTAGCAGTAGCTGTATACTTAGATGAAACCATTCTGTCCTCTATATCTCATTTTGTTTTCCTTTGTAACAAAAATTTCTTGATGGGTGAAGTTGATCGATTGATTTTTGAGTCTTGTATGTTAAGAACTAGCTGTCTTTTAGCTTCTCTCTCTCTCTCTCTCTTATGATCTTCCTTCAATAGGAAACTTTTGAGAAGGATGAATTGTAAAATTATTGATTGATTGTTAGGATTATACATGTCAAAAGGAAAAGTATATAATAAGACCATTTACTCTTAGTACAAGAAGGTCATAAATCTTGTTGACCATTAGATGTGAAATCGGGTGGCTGAGAGTATGTCATTGAATGAACACAAAGTCTAAAATCAAATTCTTGGAACTTTGTGACATACCCTAAGCCGTCGAATTTCATGTCCAATAGCTAGGATTGATTGTGACCTCCATGTATTAAAAGTAAATGGTCTTATTGTATACAATCCCAATGTCAACAACATGTTATTTTGTTAGTTTTTGTACTCTCTCTCTCTCTCTCTCTCTCTCTCTCTCTCTACACACACACACACACACACACACACACAACAACAACAACAACAATAATATACTACTACTACTACTACTACGTACGTACGTACGTACGTACGTACGTACGTACGTACGTACGTACGTACGTAACGTA